GCACGTTTGACATAGATAAATTTCACGTGGACGAACACCTAGATCCGAAAAAAATTATTTGTAGGTCTCACAAATAGTCTGTTGTGGGAATCTAACCCAAAACCGCCCAAAACCCCGGCGCTTTATTTTAAAACCTTGGCAACTTTATCTCGGAGTCATGAACAAATGTTCTATTTCCTTACTTACGAATTATTATGAATGCATGTTAGGGTAACAGGTGTTACTATTGCGTAAATTTTAACATAAAAATATAAACTCAAAGGCACATTGATGGAACTACACACAAATTACAATAAAAGCCTTCTTATTGTCATGCATTCCATATCGTTAATGAGAATGTTCACGCATCGTTATTACAAGCGGTTGTTGCATTACAAGCAATTTAACTCGTGTAGAGAGATGTAGATGGCTTCCAGCCCATCCAACCACCGACCGTAATCATACTCATAGCATCTTCAGATTAATACTCAAAAATTAAACCTGAACTGATAGTATATCTATAATTAATTTATTGCAAAAAAACATAAATAGTAGTTTACAATTAGTAAAAGTATTTTAAAAATTATTTACTCCTAAAAACTAAGCTTAAAACGAAGAAAGAATTTATAAATAATAATCCTCAAATAAATGCTTTATTAAATATAGGTTTCAATGAAATATTATTAAGTAACTATTATTAAGTAAAAAAACTATCTCTCTCTATCCCACCAGGGTTAAAAGACAAAGATTTAATCACACGTTCAAGTATCACTCGAAGCAATCGAAGTAACATTTGTACATTTTCCGAAGCCCTACGGTAAAGACGGAAAAACCCAATTGAAACGCCCACTGAAAAACCTATTGAAATAACTACCTTCTGGTGTCATTGGTGTCATTACCCTTTGTCCCTCGAAGCGCTACGGCGGACATGGTCATTAAGTCATTAAGCTGGCCGGTTCGACATGACTTTCAGTTCTCTGTCAATTGCCCATAACATCGTCTACACGTCTTTAACCAGTTTCACCTATTAAACAGTTTGATTAAAGTCTGTTTAATATTTAAAATAATTCGATTAACCAATTCAGTTTTCAGTTTGATTATATTGTATCTGTCGCAATAAATTTGTCATGAAGATTAATGGATATCATATTGCACATTTTTAATAACGCATATTTATCAATATCAATTAACACGTGGAGACTGTCTGCTTATTTGGTGGTTCCGAGGTAACCTGCATATCTTCTGATATCTGTATTGTGTCTGTCCGTCCGCTTCGTATTTAATACTCGAAAACCATCTAACCGTTTTTGAATATATTTAATGAAAAGAGAAACTAAAAAAACGGCCAAATTTATAAACGCGAATATATAACGTTTATTTATTTAGTAATATATTAAAGCGTTGATTTAAAAATAAAAGTTCTCTCATCTAACCTTAACTATCTGAGGTCGTACGTATCTTATTTGTGTCGACTCCACGCGTACCAAGATCGTCCGCCTTCAAGTCATCAAGTAAATAGAAGTGCGAAAGGGAGATTAAATCGGTGTCTTCTAATTTGGTAGCAAACCATAAAACCGCCCGCCACAGCGGCCCTTCTTTATTCTTTTGTATCCATCAAACCAATTACCCCCTTATATCCCAAGAACCGTTTGTACACATCGACAAGGAGCTTAATGCTCCACTTTGTTTTGATTGTCTACGTCCCCTTTGATCGTATTTCAAATTACCGGACGGTTACAAACGCGACGCATAAAACTTGTCTCGCCCGTATAAAATTTACGGAATGGATGTCGCTGCGTGTCGCTTCGTATCGACAGAGGAACGTAGACATTTTATTCGACCGACGTAGCGACATAAGTAAAGACGTCACTGCGGGATTTCCGTCCGCTTACTTACCTCAACGGCCGCATCTGTCCGTCAGCGTGTCGATTTTAATCGATACTAAATCGGGCATCGAGTGATGCGTTCGATTGTGAAGTATTCAAAGGGTGTCGCGTCGGAAGCGGGATCACGTGACGCGCCCTAACGAGACGGAATTAAATACAAGTGTCCTCTCCGCTCCGTTTCGGCCGAACTTACAAATTTTAATAATTTTCCCTTTATCCGTTCGGCGCGGGTTCTTGGAACGCTTTGCCCGAATGTGACGCGACTCTTGATTAGGAGAGACACTGCTTGGTTTAATGCGCGAGGCAATACATAAGCTATTAAGATGCAAGGAAAATGCACAGTTGTGTTATAATGATCACGCCGCGAGTTAAATTTTTGATTACCATTTTATACAATGAATAGTATCGTATTATGCGAGTGCGTCGTCAACGCTTATAACACAATAATATCTCCACGATGTGTATTTTACATTAAAACAATACCATCGACTGTGTGAAGAGGCGTGAAGAGCGTGCATTGATTTTTAATCGAATGGTTGGATATTCTGCCAACTAAGATTTTTTTTAAATAACATTTTCTAATCGCCGCTATTAATACCAAGCTACCATATATAGCTTGTAATAAATAATGTATACATATGAGAAGAAAATATACTATATAAGAAACGTTAATATATAGAAAGAAAGAAAAGAAAATAAAAAATATAAACTTTATAAGCTTTATAAATTATTTTAAATATTAATGTTAAAAACACCAAATTTATTGTTTTATAGTTAATTTGAAAATAAATTTATTAATATACACTGCTCTTTTGAACAGATCGTGCAATCCTTTGAGTATTCGATAATGGGGAATCCATTACTACTCTATCATGTTAAATTTGGCAGATCATTACAGTTATATCACAGAACACATGCTGGTATTTTTGCCCCTTTGTTGGCGAACATAACAACTTCCATTGTAAACTACGACTAACATCGACCAAAATACTAATATGTTAACGTAAGTTTAGAATTAAACTTAAGTCTTCTTTTTCATTCTTCCTATTGACGAAACAAAGAGTGATTTGACGTAAACAGCTGATTCCGTTGTTGTTCTTAACATCATCTGATCACGACATAGTTCTTTCAGTACTTCAAAGGAATATTTCTGCGTCTTTTTTTTTTTATTGAAACGTAAACAATGGCGTTACTTTTAAAGGAGTTAGATGACCTTAATGTCTACCGGGGCTTATAAATATCCCGTGAAAGTAAACTAAGACGGAAGCAATAAATCGGCTTAATTAGTCAATTTTGCTCACTGAAATCTTTGATTGGACCGTCTTAGATGCGATTAACGTTCCGACATCTGCTTTTGGAACAACATGAACGACACAAGAAGTGTGAATCTTTGTCTTATCCAATGGTTAGAAGAAACGATTTTTATTTTTTTCATTTTATGAAAGAAGGGTAGCACACGGCCATACTTATCCACAGAAACCGTGTGGTTGTAGTTGCGTTGACTTGTGGTTACCTTATTCACTAGATAGAATGAAACGCTAAAGCGTAAATACTTCTTTTTTACTGCGGTTTTAGTTGCAAAATAAGCAAATCTTGTACTATAGGTCCTAGGTAACCGATAAACACACATAAACATACTTTTCTTTAATAAATATATATTATATACATATATATTATAAACACCCAGATACTAAAAAAGACTATGTTCGTCACACAATATTTTTCCCGTAGTGGGGATTGAACACCCACTCTGGCGTAAGAGACAGGTTTATCCAATACGCCATTCGGGCTGTCAACTTCCAATTTATATGAATTGAAATTTTGTACTTACTATATTACTATACTATAACGTTATAACATTATTCATTAACATGTGATTCGTTTAGCTTCAAATTAATGAAACAATCTATTGCAATGATAAATTTTGTCCAAGATAAAGTATTTATGAACAGCATTTTGAACAGTATTTTAACACTGTAAATGATAACTGTAAACAATGATTAAAGCCTGGTCATCTAACTAATGTAACAGTTCTATATTATAGTTTCCTTTTCAACGGAAGATATACTTACAGCATACAATTATATATTACCATTTATTATGAACACAAAGGCACGTTTCAGCCTGGTGGAAATTTCGTGTTAAAATATCAGACGACATTATTTTAAAACTAGCGAATTAATATTTTACATATACAATTAGCTACGTTGTTGTGTCCATTACACATCAAAGTTATGGATGGCTACATTCTTTACAGGTTTATGGCTGAGATAACTTCAAGGTGTTGGTTATTCAATGCCCACTTGCAGTGGCGGATTTGCCCTAAGGCCCAATAGAGCCGGGCCTAGGGCGGACACATATTAGGGGTGGTCAATCGTGACAAAAAATTCACTGATGATAACAAGATATATGATGGGCGCTGAGAAAGGGGCGGCTGTAACTTACTACATAAGCTTGGGCCTAGGGCGGCTAAAACTACAAATCTGCCACTGCCCACTTGATATAACTTTACAAATTCTAATTAAACCTAGTGTTTTCAATCTGGTTAGTAAGGTAACTGAGGTCTACCCGTTTAAGAGTTGACAACGCAACTAAACCCACAGCGGTTTTTAATGACCATGGATGGTGATAATCAGCTTGAACCGCTTGCTCTTTTACTACGAAAATATGTAATTTTTTATATCCCGTAAAAAAACAATGATACAAATGTATCATATTTTTATTATTGTTCTAAAAGTAACACTGAACGTTAATCCCACACCTAAATCCGCAATAAAATATTTTAGAAAGCAATACTGATTAATTAAGCTGATACAGTCTTGAACAGTTTATCATAATTATAGGAAATAGGTTCACAAGAACTTATGGTAACTCTTAATGAACATACTAAAAGTAACGTTGTAAATTAACCTCTTTCTATACCAGTTAAATATTACTGTAGGATTTAAATAAACATACTTAGATTACACTACATGAAATAAAGATGAAAACATTATTGAACAGAGATAACTAGAAACATTAATGACGCATCGTCGCTAGGCAGCTGACGTAATTAGGAACTTCTAGCTTTATTTAGTGCTTATTCTCTCTTTGTAACCTTTAACGTAAGCGTAATTAAAATTAATTAAGGCATACCTTCTCGCAAACACTCCGACATGTGCCCTCCGCTTTGCCACAGCACGCGGACAGTTCTGAAACGAAAAGCACATAATATAACTCTGGCTCGGACGGAAGCGATACCCTGGACGTGTCAACGTACGACAACAGCTGGGAGCGGACCACAATAAAGTGCCCGAGACAGTTACAGATGACACCATAAAGCTTTTGATCTATTTCTCATAGCCGCCCGCGTGCGCGATATCGTACCCGATTGCTTGGCAGCCTGGGCGACCACGCTTTATGATATTTCGGAGACGTGGGGCGTTGTGGTAACTCTCACGCCCGGTTTCCGAAACACTGATCATCGTAGATGTCAACCAATCAGCTGTCAAATGGCACTTCAAATTTCATTTTATTTGCCAAAAGGACGGTTAAACTCTCTGAATTGACCAGAATGATCTTCTAATGATCAGGACGATCATTAGAAGAAATTTTGTCTCCATTAGAGGTGTACGTATTTATTCGTATAGTAGGCCTTAAAATCCTAAAAAGGCAAGAAGGAAGAAAAAAGAAAGAAAAATGCTGAAAGGATGTGCACCTTTCCTTCTACTTTATATGTCTTCCAGATGGGATCACCATCACGCATGTAGTGGCATTGTTATAGTATCAGGATACAGCGTACCATACTCATACTATCAACCTGTCTTTCGTTTTATATGTTTGTCTTACATAAAAGACCGTTCGATCGTTTATAAAATTAACCGGTGGAATTGTTCAGCGCATCGGTCATCCGTGCTCTTAATGAGTGGTTATTCCACATAATCCCATCGTCGTCAGAACGCTGCGTATTTAAGGGGAATCACTCAATACCGCATAACTAAAAAAGTAAATAAGTGTGATGCGTAATCAAAAGATTCTTCTGATTCAAAGAAGGCGAGGTTGTGCCAAGTCAAAACACGTTGTCCGAAACGCCCTCGTTGATGAGGAATTTTTTTAATAAATGTTGGGATATACCTGTGCTTATCTATTTATATATATTTTATTAATATTTAATAGTATTTTGTGAAATTTATTTAAAAGTGCTCTTGCTTTTATTTAAAAATGATTTATTTAAAATGCTCTAATATTTTATAAATTTACCGGCTACCTCTGAAAAGACCAGTTTTCAATCAAACTGGTAGCCTAATTTTATTAAGTACATTTTATTCTAGTCATAGCTAATGATAGCTCAGTGTCCGGGCGCTCGCCTTTAATTCAATATACTCGCGCAACCTGAGTTCGCGTGGTGGACTATGCCCTGACACCCTCTATATAGAGTAGGCCTTTGCCCAGCAGTGGGACATTTATAGGCTGTTACTTTACTTTTTTTTACTTAAGACATTTTAGGCTTTGCTAAAATGACGTTAGTTTTCGGGCTATTGTTATCAAATTTCAGTTTACTGTTTAAATTCGGAATGTAACTTTCGCAATGGTTTAAACAACTTTAATACATAAATCAGTAATCCATATAAATATATATGTATTTCCAGTCCAAAATTGCATACTAAACCATAAATACGGTACAGAACAAACTGTTACTAAAACTACTAAATGCAATCCAAACTGCCACAAAGAACGTCATACAAAAAGAAAATCATACTTATTGTATGATATTCTGCATAATATTGAAAAGTCGGATTTAGCCACGCAACTTTCAATGGAGCAGAAATAATAATCGATAAATCATATCTATACAATATTTAATATCGGGATAAGGGAAAGTTGGTACAGTCTCGGTACGTTATACTATAACCAGTTCAATACGCCTCTCCTCGGAGCCGATCCAACGAAATTATAGGAGACTAGACGCGGATAGATAAGGAAGAGGACAACTAACGAACGGTGATTGCAGTCTAGGGGACCGGATCCGATAGACACGTCATATTCTATAAAGTTGGCACTTTAATATACCAGTTCACTTAATAACTGGGCTCTGGCAGTAGCTTACTTAATACGACCATATTTTAAATATGTTAATAACGCGTATATTTTTTAAACTGGTCTAAGTACTGCGTAATGGATTCAAATAATGATAAATTAGAAATGAGAATTTGTGATATTTTTTTGATAATGGAAAGCCTAATCGTTCCAATCACCTCAAATAATACGGTAATGTATATTTAGTTTTATCAGTTATTTTCACCAATCATTCACAAATGGATATCAATCACTAAAAGTTTTATACACAGCTGGAAATAAATACTACCTCCTATGTTCACTTGGTTCAGAGATGTAATTTCATACATCCGTCTATTCGTCGAGAAATTTTAAAGACAGTTTTTCAGTCATGTATACTTACTATATATAAAACTTCTTCACAATTCGTTACATAGGGATGTCTACACAATATATCTTCATATACATCAAATAAATGCTTCTTTTTCTTGCATTCTAAAGGAACACGCGTTAGAATTTAAAGCTTTTTATAGTGCTAATCTCTGCACTTAAGATTAAACATTAAAACTTGTATAAAAAGTACGAATAAAGGCGTATCACATTGCTAACGTTATTAATAAAATTAAAGGAAGTCAGCCTTTTTGCAATTTGAAAAGAGATTATAACTCCGGTACGACAATGAAAATTAAATTTTATTCGAACCCGTTCCACATTGGGTATTCAGTACATCGGCTAAATAAATTAGCAGTTTGGTTGAATCCATGCAAAGAATACGTAATTTTGACGTGGCCACATACGTATATGTTCAGCCTTTTACATTTGACTTTCAATTATAAAGTGGAATGTACGCGTAAAACACGCCGGCGATTAACCGACCGTTGAACATTTTTAGTTCATCTAATATTTTATGTGCTTATTGAGTATTATTATCATAAACTGATTTACTTATGAGAAGAATAGGTCTATTTGTTTTAAATGTTATAAATGTGATTGAATTTACCATCACTATAAAATATTTCCTTGCAAAAGTTCATAAATTATTATAAGGTACAAGGTGTGGTCACATTATCCTTTAATTTAATTTATTTTTTTGTACACGTCACTTAAATATAGCGTCTACTTACTCCATTGGAATAAATAAATGATTCAAAATTAACTGTAGTAGTTCCCACGCAACGTTGCACGAATGGGCAGGTCCGTCCAAGGAAGTACCACGACCTCACAGAGGACCGGCGTTAAACAGAAGTAAAATAAAGTAATAATACTTCTGCGTTGCGTCCGGTGAGTGAGATTACCTGGGCCCACTTTATTAAAAGGTGGCAACGCATCTGCAACCCTAATAGGAAATATCCATGGGCGGTGGATATCACTTAGAATCAGGTGAACCGCCAGTTCGCTTGCCAACTCGCATAGAAAAAAACCAAACTTACATCAATATGCACTCCGTTAAACGTTTTAAGTTTTTATAAAAGTTCGTTTTTACTTATCATTTCATCCAAATGCAACTAAATGACAATATTGTCATGTTTTGATTTATATCATACTGCTGCAAAATGTAGTCCCTATAGACTACGACGATGTCTAGTAATACGAGTTTTACATATATACTTGTATATGCAGATCTCTTTACGGCGTACATAACATCTGTGCATTCACTCCGTGAATCATCCGTCATACATACGATTGCCGCATAGAAATTGAAATGTTATCAACATGTTATTTATTAAGCTGGACCGCTAGCATACTGAGCGTTTTCTGACTTCCTAACTAGTTTACGACATCCTGCATCGTTCGAGGTTTACATGTCAACGTACCAAGTAATGTGTGCGCCTTGTAATCTATATACTTAGGTTGATTACAATTTTCTCACATTAATCGATAGTCTTAATACAGTTCCTTTCAATACAGTCTATAACTTAAAATTTGTAGAAAAAGTACGAAAAGATTGTCGCCGCTGTGGGAATCGAACCCACGTTTTCGGCATTCGCGGCCTGACGCTTTAGCCACTGAGCTAAACGGCTGATTACCACACAGACGAAAATCTTAACGCCTTCTATCTACATTGTTTTTTAGCATTTGAAGCAATACTTGGCGCATCCATTGTTATTTCCTTTCCAATTATACCTATTCAATGACTTTTTTGAATCAGGATTAAATAAGAGTAGGCCCATTTTAAAATCTTTACTGAGTTTTCAGTTGTTTCCTTGTTTTTTGCTTTCTAGACAGTGTTTTAACTTTCGATCGAACTATGAATAGCTTCATCGGCGCAAAAAAGTAATATTTTATATTTTTCATTATTTTCCGTTCCCGAATATGGGAAAGTATTATTAAAATATTGGGAATACGCCTCCACCATTAGCATTATCCATGTAAGTTCTCTAAAACACTTTAATGTCATTACATTCATTTATATATAGTTATATTCATTTATTATATTTGTTCTGTATGAATAAGCCGCACAATTTCCCTAACGTTTTATGTGAGCTTTAAAAAATCTAGCAAACACTTCGATCTTCACTAATATACAGTTGATAAAACATATCATACGCTACGGTGGTAGGGCCACGCAGCAGTCTCAGCTATTGCTCGAATGGGCAGGCTCGTCCGGGTAAGTACCACGACCTCACAGAAGACCGGCGTAAAGTGGATGTATAAATAATACTTTCGCGTTTCGTCTGGTGAGTGAGGCGGCCGGAGCCCAATTTCCAAAAGATTGTCAACACATCTGGAACCTTCGAGTGTAGCAGATGTCCATGGGCGGTATTCATTTAACACCAGGTGAACCGTCTGCTCGTTTGGCAATTATTCAAATAAAAAAAAACATTAAATGGAAATTAAAAATATTCAATAAGTGCGTAAACATACGTTGAATATTTAATACTTGCCGAGGCGCACTTAATTATAAGGTGGCCACGCAACTGCAATCCCACGGGTGTTGCAAATGTCCATGGGCGGCGGGTATCAATCAATATCACTTGAACCGCAAGTTCGCTTGCCACCTTCTCACATAAAAAAATAAATGCATCATCATCATAATTTCAGCCTGTTTGAGTCCACTGCTGAACATAGGCCTCCCCCATAGACTGCCACGAAGTACGATCCTGAGCCACCTGCATCCATCGACTTCCCGCACATTTGCACAGGTCGTCACTCCATCTAGTGGGGGGTCGTCCTACACTGCGATGGCCAGTACGAGGCTGCCACTGGAGAATCTTTCTTCCCCAACGGTTATCGGTTCTACGAGCTATATGGCCGGCCCATCGTCACTTCAGCTTGCTAATCCTCTGAGCTATGTCGGTTACCTTGGTTCTACTGCGGATGTCTTCGTTACGAACTCTATCACGCAGAGAAATACCGAGCATAGCCCGCTCCATAGCTCGCTGAGCGACTTTGAGCTTCCTCATACGGCCAGCAGTGAAGGACATCGGACGTCTCATACATATGTCCCATTGCTGGGCAAAGGCCTCCTGTGTACAGAGCATATTATCCTTCGCCATCAGGATGTTATCGTTCACCGCTAAACATTTAATTAATAAGCGCTTAAAACAATTAAAACTTAAAAGTAAAAAATAATTGGTATCAGGTGTCCGCTTGTCCGTTTTCCATGTCTATAAAAATTGCCCACATAATTTTAATTATAACACCTCACCTTGCGATCCAGCGAAGGATAGTGCGAAGCTAGCGAAGACCAGTCTGGCCCACCAGCTGCCTCCACACCGTGTTCTTTCCATTCTGCACCTCTTCGTACGCGAAACTCGGCCTAGTGCGGCGCTATCTGGAACATTATTTTTCAGTTTACACATCACTTTTGTAAACACAACGTCTTTCGAGGCGCGCGTGTCTTTTATATCGTGGCAAACCGTTTGATATCAAAGCCGGACAGACGGGCAGTGATCGTTAATTTATCATATTACGGCTTTTATCGCTTTGCCGGTACTAATTACGACGTTCCCTTAGACGCGAATGCTTGGGAAGAATTGCGCAGACGTTTCTACGAGTGTACCCAATGCAATGTATAGCAAATATAATAAAATTTCTTTTAAAATGAAGTAAAGTAGTAGCAACCTGTATATGTGCCACTACTGGCCAAAGGCCCCTCTGTACAGATGGTTTTAGGGAGTAGTCCACCACGCGACCGCACTCCGGATTGGCAGACTTACATATTTTTTTTAAATATACCGATTTCGTAGTTTACCTTCACCCCCGAGCAAGTGATAAATAAACACTTAAAATTGAAATTAACAATCTCATAAGAAGTCTGGTTGCACGAGTATATTGAATTAAAAGCTCACCAGCCGGACAATGAGCTATCACGGCTCAATGTTAAACACTATAACGCGACGGATTTGAAATAATTTATTCATTGGCTTTTTTTATTTTCATATTTTCATTTTTCAAAAGTAAATTGGTAGTGGATTTAGCATCTGCATTAGGATTTAATGAGTTTCGATAGTAATTATTTGTAGGCCGATTGCTTCTATTGCATACTGTAATGCAATTCGGACCTTATTGGCAAGAAACCTCTGTTCTTGAATTCAAAATTAAAATTTTTAGGCAACCACTGAAATTCCATATATACGTGAAAGTATTGTAAAATATTAATTAAATCTAAGGTTCAAGTTGGAGCGATCTTTTTGTTTAGCAACAAATTGAATGCGGGTCTAAAATGAATACTTTATTTGAAAGCTTGATCAGATAGTTAGAATTCAAATATCAGATGCATGAAGATACCAAAATCATTTTCGTCGTCGAAATCTTATTGTCATGATAGAAAATGACGTAATAAAGAGCTCTCAATGTAAGTTTCTGTCCACATGTCAATATTTTTAATATACAAATATCAATATTGCTTAAGAACTGAGTTATAACTTAAGATATAATGATATTCCTAATTATAAACTTGGGTAACTGGTAATTCATAACATATGACAAATTCTCCATAAAGTTCATAGCATCTGAGGTCAAGCCAACTAGAATAAGGAATTGTTTTCGAACATTAGTAGGTTTCCAGGCGAATTTGGGCCCCGAAATTATCTTTAAGCTCAAGTCGTATGGCAATTAATTCTCAACAAATGCCACATGAAAGTAGTTACAAATGAACGTAGGCACATGAGCGAAATCCTATAGCTGCCCAATATTTCACACCGGGGAGCCACCCGTCCTTCTCCTCTCCGAACATAAATCCTCAAGGGTGAGAGGACAATCCATATCACTCTCGCCAGCTTAAAGTCGCCACAAGGGCTAAGTACGCTGAACTGGAGAAAATGCATCATGAATTATTTCATTTAAAACATGTTTTTTGCTATTCTATTCTCTAATTGTTCTCTATATTTTTTTCTTTAAAACCAACCAAACAAGTGTATTCATGTGTTCAATTTAATTATAAATTCTTAATACTACGTTAAAAGTACGCTGCAGCGTATGGAAATATTAAAGACCACCCTAACCACTACAAACATTTGACAAAACTAAAACTTTTGCAAAATGGGACGGATTCTTACAAGGGCTAGTCAAATAAATTGCTAGTTAAATAAAGCTATTTAAATAAAGGGACACATAAATTTCAATAGTGAATATGATTGGGTGTTACCACCGGCGTGGTATCTTGTAATTAATTATAAGCACACAAATATGAGCCGTGATAGCTCAGTGTCCGGGCGCTCGCCTTAATTCAATATACTCGAGCAACCTGAGTTCGATCCCCGGTGCCGGCACCAATGAAGTTTTTAACTTTAAGTGCTGACTTATCACGTGCTCCGTGGTGAAGAAAAACATCGTGTGGAAACCTGCATATTTTCGAAATAATAACAAAAAAATATATATATTTCGGATATATGTGAAGTCCGCCAATCCGCAGTGGGGCCGCGTGGTGGACTATGCCCTGATACCCTCTGTATAGAAGAGGCCTTTGCCCAGCAGTGGGACATGACTAGCCCACCGGTTCTGCGTCAGATGAAGCTTTAATAGTCTCGGGACTGAAAGCAAAAACATCAGTTAATACAAGATACAAGATACAAGTGGGACATGTATAGGCTGTTACTTTACTTTTTTACTTTTACACAAATATCAAGAATTTTAAACATTTTGTATAAGATATCTTAATGGAAAGGGCCTATTATAATATCAAAGAATACATCGAGGACGAGGATATATGGAAATGACTGTTGTGCTCTGCACTAGCAAATCCCTTTATCTGCTGCTGATTTTATATTTAAATACTCTTGTAAAGTTATGTCATTTAAAAAAATAATACAATAAGACCGCAGAGTTTGTTGCCGGTTCTTCTCTAAACTAGTTTATAAGTAAACCATTGGTAATTTTCGACAAATTTTCGACATTCAATAACAGCTTAAAATAAGCCTATATTTAACTTGTTTATGCCGGTATAAAAGTAAAGTACAAAAAATGGTTCCGTCGCAATAAGTTTAATGCGACAAAACCCAAAAAATAACTATATATAATGTATCTAACATTCTCTTGATCATCTAACATTTTTTCATTTTGACCATGAAGCCTGTGACGGATTCCAAATGTCGAGAAATTATACTAAAATTAAATTAGAAAAGAAACTAAATATAGTTAACTACATAGACTTAATAGTGAGTAGCAATCGCATTTAAATAAAAAATACAAATGGAGCTGAATTCATAAAGTTACCAAAAAAGCTGCAAAAACCTTTTTGTTCGTCAAATGGCAATGTTCGACTGAAAAACTTTTTGTTGTATAATTTGTAAACTAGGATACGATTATCTATTGGAAATGTCGTTGAATTTTCGTATAAAACTCTACCACTCCTTTAACGTGTCAAGAACGAAGTTTCAAATCCCCAAGTCAAAGTTTTCTCATGTTACTATTTTTATCTGTCGGAAAAAGCTCCTCTCATATCCGTCTCTGCCATATTAGAATTCCAAATCCCATGTTTCCAACTGCATTGTCATCTTAATACATATCTGTCTCTCACACTATCTCATTCTAATCTGTCGCTGTGTATAACACTTTGGTATGGTTATTTTACTCTGATATATAATACTAATGGCTACTCTTTTGTTGCATTTAGCAGTAATAAGAACATTCTAAACAAAAAAAACTTGTTCCTTTTGATAGTTCCACTGCACATTAAAAACTACTTAAATATTATTAAATTCATTCGTTTATTCGTCGAACTTAAAAAGTTAAAAAACTCTTTAAGATTTTAATTAACAAACAATATTTAATAACAGCTAAGCGCTTTTATATTTTTATATGCATTTGTGTTTGGTCGCTCGTTGATTGATTAATAACTAGTGATCGCCTAGTGGTCGAAATTCGTAATGTTTTTTTATTGATTTAATGTATTTTTTATGCATAATTCTAAAAAAATATTAGCATCATGCACTCTCTCTCTATATAAACTATAAGTTTGGGAAATTTCATAATCCTCCGTCCGCGCAATTCTCATAAAAAGGGGTACAAAGTTTTTTATTCACGTTTTTAATATATAGATAATAATTTAAGAGTGAAATAATGAGGTGCGTTTTCAAAGTTACGTTTTGAATCTAAATTTCACCCTAAGCCCGGCTTAATCTATTAAAAGACCTCAGCTGAACTAAAGCACGTAACGCGACGACAAAGCGGCACGTGAAAATTTCACCTCACTCACTTGCAAAGGAAACTTTCGTCGCAAATCACCGGGGAGTGGGATAGACGCCAATAAAAATGCTTTATTGTGCCCCTCCGTGGAAACTTCCGAACAACTTAGCGTAGTGTAAGCCGCTGTGGGACTGCTGGAAGTCTTATCTGAAGGAACTTTCTGCACGCGTTCCCTATAGAAGTCTGCATGACCCGTAGGTAGTATGCGGCGAAGAATCTTAGAAAAGTTTAATTGAACGAGCTTACCAATTTTTAATTACTTATATGTTGTGTATATTGAAGACAAAAAAAATCACAAAAATAATTTTAAGTGCACATTTTAAGTGTAAAATTTAACATTAAGTGTAAAATGACGATCGAATAACGCAAAAATGCCACTTTATCGCAGCAAGATATGCAGAGATTATACATCTCAGTACATCTACATGCAGTATTGATGTTTTCAATATAAAACTGGCTTTTGATTTTGTTAAATATATCACGAATATGTCATTCAGGGTTAATGGTGCTTCTCCTTCTTCTTCGTACTAAAAATATGTAGAATCGGTTCCGTCGTTCCAAAGATTAAGCATTACATACAAACAAATCTACTTTTTCTGTGCATAACATTATTTTATTTAATAGATGTATACATAAATATTAAAACAACGAAAGAATTGTAGCTTTATGGGGATTATTAACCCTGAATGACATGTTAAGTCGTTATATATATCCATATATATCCATGGATTATTAAAACGTTATATCATCTACATTAATGAGATTCTATCTCTTCACTAGTCGCATAAACAAGCAGTGTTGTTTGCATTCCAATACGCTATGCATGATATTAAATCAAAAGCAAATTCACGTGATATATTTTCAATTTAATACCACGCATAGAGGGCCTTATCTAGAATACAAATGTTCTGAAGCGAACGCTTACGGAATACCCAAAGATACAGAATACTCGTATAATTGAACAAGGAAACGCGGCGATTCTTTCTAGGAATAAACTTTGTTCTTCACATTGTACCTTTTTAGATTCGACATGTTTTTTTCCAACTTGATAAAACAACTACCATACATTGAGTTTGATTGTAAGTTTGAAATTTTGTGAAAT